CTGAACCTCCCTGCCTGCTATTCTTTTACTGATTGTAACCTGATTTCTCTCTTTTACATAGTTACAGATGCACAAACACTTCCCTGAGGTCTTAACATTGCTTTCCTTTGAAGCTCCTTCAATGTGTGGCATTAAACCTGCCATAGAGCATGCACTCAATATATGTTTGGAGATAAGTTGCATTATTGTAAAATTCCACTTTTTTTTTTCAAAAGATTCTATGACTTATCACAAAGTGATAGATAGAGCAATGTGTAGCAGAAATTTGCATTATTGCTTTTCTCTTTGAAGGTTTTAGAAGGCTTTTATAGAACAACTATAATTCAATAGACAGCATCAGCCTAGCTGTATTATTTCTGACAATTTTGATTTGAGTTGCTTTTTAAAAAGTAATTTGTGTTCCAACTATTCTGGATTCAGAGATACAATTGCACATCAGTAGTATCATATGCTATTTAAATAAGTAAGTGTTCTCTTGCTTTGGCATTTAATACCAAATCCAAATCAAATGTTTATCTGTTTGAGTTTGTTCTTCAGAAAGAAAATGTTGAGGAATTTGATATGTCGCAGCAGAAAATTAAATTTCTATTTTAAAATGTTAACCAATGACCCTCAACGTCTGAGAATATTCAAGCCCAGGGAAGAGCCCTGAATGTATGGAGGAGGTTGGAATATTAGGAGCAGCCTCATTTGCTGGGCAGAGCTAAAGTGAATTCTTTACCTCTGATTCCCATCCCTACCCTGCACTATTTCATTTCTTTGGTAATTTTACAAGTGGTTCAGGGAAAAATATGTTACTTGCAAGCTCAGAGCTGAAACAGCATCTTTGACAACACAGACCAAAAGCCTCTGAGAGATCTTCCCTGAGGGTTTTCACTTACCTTTCTTCATGAGTGTGTCCAGTGCTCTTAAGCACTGGGACTCCTTAAAAGGCCTGTTGTCCCCTTCTTTATGTTACAAGGCATGAACTGGCCTCATAGAGCTGAGGCAGCCACATCTGTCCTTTCTCACCAGTTCTTGCCATCATGCCAGGAGGATTTCAGACATGTGAGGATATTAGAAGAGGTAGAAAAGGGGGAAAGGGCACACTCTCAAAAGAGAGGGTCTCAGGAGAAGGATGGTACACCCTCCTGTCTACCAGTTTTGTTGGGGGTCCCAGGGATGTTCCCAAGGGTCCTGGCAAAGTCAACCTCTTGACCTCTGACTGACAGCAGGAGGATGACTTTCAAGTCTGCACTATGTATAACAAGTCCTGGTCACTTTGATCCATGCTGGCTGATTCTAACTGGATCCTGTTCTTAGAGATTTTATAGTTAGGATGGATTATCCTTACTTCCCTGAGTTCCAGGACCTAATCTGTATAAGGGTCTGAAAAGCAACCCCCCTCCTTGAGGATAACTTATGTTCTTTATATGGGCCTTTCAGGTCTGCATCTCTTCTGCAGGTAATGTAACCTATCCTATTGAGGAAAGCCAGGCAGAGTTGCAGTTAATCACTTTTTAAAAATGAAAATATGTGGGGGTTAGCACAGTGAGCCCAGTTTAGAGAATTATCCCATTAACCCCATGTTCTCACCACTCACACGTGGGCATTACCTGTTACTTACCCAGAGGAACTTTTAAGGAAAATATTTTTTTCAATTTTATTAATTATCCTACATTTTAAAAATACTTATGTTGTGTTTAATCTGTCCCTTTATTTTGTGTATATTTTTCTTTAAGTGTTATCCTCTCCATGTAATTATTCATTTTTCTACAAAGTTTGGATTTTTAGATAATAAAAGAGGAGTCCTTAATTACATCTAAGAAGCAAAGCTGTGTTAGTTTAGATGTTGGATTCTTCTTAATTAAGAATTCTAGGTAGGACCATGGTGACCAGTGAGATCCTATTGAAAGTAGATTCCATGATGCTACATTGGTAACTCTCATCAAGAAATCTTTGAATCTGATTAATTTTTCTAATTATACACAAGGGATTTTCATATACTGTCAATGCCACAAATAGAGAATTTTGTAACCCTTATTTCTGAAATATTCTTAACATTTCCCTCATCAAGCCAGACTTAATGGAGAAGCTAGGGGGTTCTTATTCTAATGGAAACATGATTATTTTCCTTGATAAAACACCTCAGAGGAGCATTACACATGTGCCTTCAAGACCTTTTATCATGTGTTCCCTATTTGTGCTCCCACACTTGACATTGTGTAGGTGAGGCAATGTCAGGTGTGTGGAAATGTATCAGAGACCTCTGTGTTTTCAAGATAGATTAGGAGGTTCCAGAAGAACTTCATGGTATCCATACCTTCCTTTTTCAAGATCATATAGCAAGGGGGCAGGAAAGATTTATCAAGTTAATGAATAGCTGTGTTGAGTGAGAATCTCAACCTTTTTGAGAGTTTATTTTTTTTCTGCCACATCTAAGTTTTCCTGCCTATGGCGCCCAGAAGTTTTTTGAATACTAATCTCTTTTCTGTTCATAGCTATCAAATACTTGATTGGTATCTTTGGTGTTAAAGGAAGATTGGGATCTAGTGAATATGATTTTAATCTAATAAATAATCCCATCAGAAACTTCTAAATTGCATCAAATCTTCTTTGGAAGATAAATTATCTATGGAAATGTTTTCTACACTCAGAAAAGCATGAGAGACTAGCATCTATAAGCTTATAGATGGCAGATGGCACAGAAAAAAATAGTCTTCAACTGACCACCATATATATATATATACATGTATAAATATTATAAAATTAATTTAATAAGGAAATATGGATTTTATAAATATCCATTTGTAATAATGGTTTACATTTGTGTTTTTTGGATTGGATTTCCAAACAATGGGAAGCATCTTTGAAATTTTCTGTTAACTGTAAAACTTTTTTTTTTTTGTTTTTCTCATAAAATCAGGTTTTTCTAATCAACCAAAATCATGGGGAAAGCAGAACAGAGATAAGCTAATAAAGCTCATCTTCACCCTCACCTGACCACACCTTAAACCTATGGAGCTCTTCCTTTATTTGTTGTTGCTAATGTATGGCTTCCTGCTAAGAATAAAATATGAATGACTCCCAGGTGCTAGAAGGCCCTGCAAGACTGGCCTTATGGCAATCAGCACAGTAATGTGCATCTCTGTTTTTCTCGCTTTGTGTGCTACTTATGCTTTCCACACATAGCTTACCCTTTCCTTTTGCAAACCTGTACCTTGCTCACTCTTCATCAACCATTGTTCCTTCAGATCTGCACAAAGTTTACTCATCCTCATTAATGCTATTTCAGTGAAAGTGCTATCCTCTCATATAGGGACCATTCTTGGCCAACCCATAGAAAGGGTGTCTCTCATGAACTGCCTGTATTATTCCCCATCCCTACCATGACCCTATTAGTTGCATCTTTTTGCCAAGAGAAACCCAGAACTTCCTCAGTCTTGAACAATTGGATGACAGCTGGTCAGTGTGAGAACCAGAGTCAGCATTTTGGTTAATGAGCTTTCCTCATGCCTTTTAGAAACTGTAGAAAGTATTGTTTAAGGAAACTGTTTAAAACAGGAAGACAGAGGAATGGAGATGCATGGTTCAGGATGAAATTCTGAATTTGAGTTGAATTGTTACATAGAATCATTAAATTAAAGAAAGGAAAACTTGAGGAAAGGCACCACTGAAATACCTTTTAATGGTATCCAAATATTTTCTTTAAAATAAGCTTGTAAACAAAGATGGTATGAGATTATCCATCACATTATCATCTTCTCCAGCGGGAGTGGCCCAGTCAATGAGCAGTTTACAAATACCCTGCCCCGAGGGTAATGCTGGCTGGAATGCCAGCTTTCACTTCTTTATTCAAAAACATTTACTATGGGCCAAATGTGTCTTGGTCATCCTGAATACTAGTCTTTATGCTCTTGAGATTTTTAGTACAGAACAATCATAAGAACAGTTCTCATTCCAGAGACCACCCCATCAGGCAAAAACAGAAAAATGTATTTAAACATTTTTTTAAATGACTTGCTATGATCTTGCTATGAGGATTTTCACACAAATACTTCAAAGAACTCAGGAATAAAGCCAAAATTCAATACTTGGGTATCTGGAGAAAGATAGTGCCCCTGGCAGAGAAGTACATACTTGGGAAAACCAAGCCATTGTTGGCTGTAAGCATCCTGATACTGGGTGATCCTGAGAGTTGGATGGGAGAAGACCAGGCAGGCAGACCAGAATCAAGGGAAGTTTGGAGTTGGAAATGTAAATTTTTAAATGAAGCATTCATGTTAAGTAAGTAGATTAGGATGATAACTGGAATTTACATGGAGTTTAAAATGTCTGGTGTTGGAATTATTAGCATGGAATTCAATACTGAGTAGGTGGGGGTAGGGTCGAGAATGCAATGAAATGACCAGGAGAAGCTGGATTGGGTGAAGAGCAAACGTGTCTGAGTGCACAAGAAACCTGAGATGCTGACGCAAACAAGCCTGTGCCCTTATAACCAGTATACAAGGAATCACCATTAAGGGAAGAGGAGGGCAAGTAACATTGTCAGTAAGCGAAAAAATGAAAACGAACATACTTGGAAATGATCTATTCACCTTTCCAGCCCCTGTGACAGAACACCTAGTCGTGGGGTTAAACCAAGTGCCAGAGCAGGGGAAAACAAAGCCTGCTCTACTCAACTGGCCGCGGCGCATTGTAAATAAAATATCAGGCACTCTTCTTTCTTTCCCGGCCTCACGCGGGTCCTCTGTCCCACCCTGGGTGTAAATCATACATCTTGCAAGTTTTGCATTAGAGAGCCCAGCAGGGAAGGACATTTTCCGCAAGTAAAGAAAGTAGAACTAGGGCAGTCCGAAGAGATTGAAAGGGCAAAACTATCAAGCAAGAAAACTGTAAGTTCTGATTAGTTTTATGACTTTGCCTTCATGCCTCGGGAGCTCAATTGATCAAGGGCTTCCACGACAGGCAAAGCGGAGTGGGAGGGATGAAGCTTGAAAAAAATTCTCAAAACTCTCTCCAGCTTCGTGTTTTCAGATGCAAATAATTCGCGGAGAGATGGATGGACTTCAGCCCCTCCTACTTTCATCCCTCTTCTTTATTTTCCTGCGAAGGAATCCATCTGTACGGATCTGTCGGGAGGGAGGTGGAGGAGGGTGCCCGTGTGTGCGCGCGTGTGTGTGTGTGAGTGTGTGTGTGCGCGCGCGTGCCGGCTGAGCGGCTGGCTTCCTCTTCGCCTTCTTTGCCAACAGCCCTCACTGGGTCTCCAGGAGGTACTGAAGTCTCAGTGGCTCCCCGAGCCGGCCTCGGACTGTTCTGACAGCCGGCGCCCGACTGGATCAGCATCACCCTCTTCCGCTCCCCTCCCGGCCTGGGTCCCGCGCGCTCTCTCCTCTCCCGCGCTGCCCTCTCGCCCTCTCCAGGGACGCGCGCTCCCGTGTTGGTTCCGGACCTGGAGTCTGAGCCGCCTGGGCTAACAACCCGCGGGGCGGCTCGCAACCGGCTGAGGCAGACGCACCCGGGAACCCGAGGCCGGGGCAGGGTCCCCGCGCCCTGCGGAGTGGCCTGTGATTGGAGGAAGAGCCTGTGCCGGTGCGGCCCGTGCAGGTGCCAAACGGGTGGCTCGGGTCTGCCCCGCGCGCCGAGCTGCGCGCACTGGGTCCCGAAGCGCCCGCGGGCGCCGGGCCACCGAGCGCGTGTCCTTTCGGATGCAAACGCCCAGGTTCCTGGCGCCTGACGCCGCCGGGAGGTCAGCGAGGCCCCAGGTGAGTGCGATTGCCTGTCAGGGGCTGGGAGAGGCGCCTCTGGGCATATATGCGCCTTTGCTGTGAGCGTTTAGAAGCGGGACTAATCAGTGAGCAGAAAGCGGGCGGGGGCATCCATATGGAGTTTTCCCTGGCGTTCCCAAGTTACTGCGTGTTGCCGTGAGACGCTGTTCTGCAAGGCAGGACAGGCGTGTGGACCGAACTGGGGGCGCTCGGCCTTGAAAGCGTTGTTGACAGACACCAGGTGCGACGCGAGAAGTAGTTCAGGGTAATAGCAAATCCCGTCACTCTCCGGACGCAGAGGCAAACGCAGGCAGTCTGGACCGCTGTCCTCAAAGAGGAACCCAAACGGGCCTCTCCCTTGACCTCGGATTGATGGGGGCACAACTCCGCGCTGCTTATGCCGCCAGATTCTGCAGAGGTCTGAGGCTGGAAGGGGGTGTGTGCCTTCGATTTCAGGAGTCCTTTGAACCATCTGCGCTAGACACCTTCTGCTTTTTGTGAAGGTGGAACTCACCTAAGGTTGCTTTGCTTTTTCCTGTAATTAGTATTCTGCTGATATGGTGCATCTGCAGGTTTTGCCTTGGCTTCGCATCCAGCTTCCCTTATGCCTGGCTGTGCCTTAGGTGTGCGCTGGGAAAAGGGTGCCCTGCTTCTCTGAATGCATGGTGGATTTCTTCATGGGTGCACATGGTTCACGGCGGCTAGTTGTTGGTATTCAACCCTCCAGTGTGGATTAATGCAAAAGGACCTTTGTTCTGTATTTCTTCATGCCTTAGATCGTTAACCACTACGGATTTCTTAGATGTCATAGTTCAGGTGAGTAAAGACTAGTAATGAGTTCACCTAGTACTGGGAGAATGAGGAATTGTTGAGAAACCATCAAGGATTGAGTGTCTCAAGATTTTGGAGATATGCATCCTGAAACATGGATATTCTTAAAAGCTGTTTTATTTTCCAAGAAATATTTTGTCTTTATTAGTTCATTTATTAAGGGTAGTTTCTATAAGGAAGATTCTGCCTTTCATTATTTCTGTAACCAGACAGGTGTCCAGATTATTTTCATACAGAAGTAGATGAACACAACTTTATATTAAAGGAAAAAGAAAATGTATCATCAATATATGGCCCCTGCTAAGTGACACTGTGCATTATATGCATTTTAAAAATATTAACAGATAAACAGCAGTATATATCTAAACTTATATCAAGAGTTTAGGATCAGTGGCAACCTTTTTCTTTTAAAGGAAAGTTTTCATAGACATACTGCCAGCAGTATCAAAATAATTTTAAGCATATCTTTATAAATACAGGTTGTTAAGGAGTAAAAAAGAGTTAAGGAAAAAAAAATAGTTGCTTTCAGTAACTCATCAAAATCATTTCTTTCTGAAAGAACTAGTTTGACTTGTGTTGACCAAAGCTCTTTTCTTGTTTCTCTATGTAAAGGAGAAATTCACTAAGATTCGTTTTCTTTATTTCTAGTTCTATTTGGAAAAGTATGAATTAAACTGGGAAGGCATGAAGGCAGGTAGTCAAGCAGGCAACTTTATAGAAGTCTTGCTTATATGTTACTATTTAATATGGACTGGTTGCTGGAGGCAATTAGGTGGTATTCACTGTTAATAGTTTTATCTGGCAGAGCTAGCTGAAAGTCTGCCTGTGGAAAGAAAAATAAAGAAAACAATAATCAGTAGAACAGCCCATCACCCTGTTAAAAGCCATTAAGGTTTGCAGCTTTAATAAAAGGGCATTGTGCATTTACAACGTGAGATATTATTGTAATTAAGGACTGCAATAGGTCATTAGAATTGTGTTAACAATCAGTTGACAGACTCACAACTCTTCTTAAGTCTACTTTTATTGATTTAATAGCACAGAGCTTTTCCCTTTCTTATAAAAAGGTTCTTGTAAAGCACCTATATTACTGCAATTTACCCTTGAATTGACTCTAGATTTTAGTATCCAATGAGGATCAGAGGGTTGGGAGCATGCTGACTTGGCCACTGTTCAGCCTTCCTTGGTTAAAAAATCAAACCACTGTCTCTTCTTAGGCATGATTTCTTTGCCAGTCTCCCCATTATTCAGCATTTTGGGCTTTTAATGGCAAATCTGCTATAAACTTCTCAGAATGCATTCAGATATAAAGAAGTGAATACATCTTTGTGTTGAGTTAAAGACTATCAAACCTTTTGGAAATTCTTTGTAAAGTACTAAGCCCATAAATTGTTCAGTGTTGTGAATATTTATTGCTGAATGATTCCTATCTTCCTGAATTTTGCAATGTTCTATACTTCTTGCTTTAACAGCTTATATCACATCATGGTTCTCTTATCAGAAAAAAATGTTTTTACTTGATTTGAAGGCTTCAAAGGCTTAGCTTAATTTGGGAGTTTCAGAAACTTCGAAATGACTAGCTTGCATTAGTTAATCGCAGAGGGACTGTGGTGAAAGCTTTTCTTCATTGGATGAAGGAATCAGATCTCTCTTCATGGGATGATAAAGGGGAGCTAAGGACAAGGAAAGAAGACATGTGACCGGATAGTCCTGTGTGTGACCATCTCCCAGCCTCTGACAAGCAAAGCAGATTTAGCTATAACCAGCAATACACGAGTGCCTCCTCTGGGAATTTGCTGGTTCTGCAGAAAGATACCCCTGCAAACACTTCCCCTCATCATTCTGCAAACCTCCTCTCTGATAAAATTACCAGTGCAAATGAATATGCAGACATCTGTCCATACATTCATTTCAGATAATAGTATAGATTTTCATTCTGGTAGAATTTATTTTCTGCTATTTTGCATAGTGTTTATTGAAACATGATGCCTTTTATTGACTCACATAAATCACACCTGACACAAGGTAAATATGAGGGCAAATTAAAATTTAAAATGGATACAGCTAAGAGTTCTTGAAAGAGCAAAGTATACAGAAAAAGCCCTTTAAATACAATTTTGCCATTTTGCTGTTATATGAATAATTTAGTATTGCTCTTTGTCACTTTGTTTACTTCACAATTTACATTTAATGGTAAAACAATGTTGCCTTCCTCTTTTGTTTTTTCTCTACTGTCTTCTTCACTCATGGCAGAGGTTGTTTGTTCTTGGTTGATATTGATCTGTGATCCAGGCAGAGAAGTTTTCTTTCCATGTTTGTAACCAGATGCACACAACAGGCTATGTGGTTCATTTCCAGGGCCCCTGCCTGCATGTTTAGGCCAGTTAACTATGGGAGGTTGTGGTCTGTGGTTGTAATGTTATCTGGCCCAGGGAGCTAATGATTTTGATCACAGTTTCTTTACATGAGAAGTCACACATCACAGAGAGTCCCAAGTCTCACTAATTAAAATGTAAAAAATTAAACATTTTAAGTACAAAGGAGAGGGCTTTTCATCAGCATTAAAATTATTAAATATTTGCCCAGCATGTGTGAGGCCTTGGGTTCTATCCTCAGTGCCACAAAAAGAACAAAAACAATAAAAACAACTGAAGTAATGAAATCTTTAAATGTTATGCAGATGCCATAGATTAAATAGTAGTATATTGCTATGCTAGAAACTGAAGGTGGCAAAATTAAATCTAGAACAATTATAAGGACAATAATAGGTAGAGGCAATCATCTCAAAAGTTAGGATTTATAGTACCAACCCAAATAGCACAAATGGTAGGATAGTTACTATTTTGTTGAACAAAATGGCTCTAGAAATCCACTGTATATTCTCAGATATTTTCTTTAGTTGACCTATTTCTGAAACATTCACTGGGATATTGTTTAACTTTCAGTGGAAATAGTTAACTTCTTGGGGTCATATGTAGTTGCAAGTTATTTTTCAATTGACAGTGTAAATCAGAATGGAGTAGGCAATTTTAAATTTGGATACTGCTCATTCTCCAATTTTTGTAATAAAAGGAAAAATAAGTCCCCAGATAGTAGATCTTTCCACTCTTTATTTTTACTCTGAACTCCTTGTCCTCTTGAGTAGAATCATGATGAGCTCCTACTTTGAAAATTAAAACTCATGGTCTTCTAAAAATTCAAATATCACATCTACTTTTCTTGGTTTGGGGAAAAGATGATACAATCTAAACCTCACACACTGAAAAGCGATCCATTACCAGAATAAGTAACTTTTAACACTTCACTTATTGTATCCAACTATTGATCAACTGCATCAGTAACTCACTGTGTGACCTTGGACATACCATTAGAATTCTGCAGATTTCTTTTTTTTTTCTTTTAAAGAAGAAAGGGGACAGATTAGGTTTTTAATAAAGTCTTTCTCCACTTAAATTTTTTATTCATCTTTTGGTTCACTTCAGAAATGTTCAAACATAGCAGCAGAAGTGAGCAGTTCTTTGTGTGTTTTCTCTAACATGAACATTTATGGGAACCAAACTATTTCATTCTTCAGAGTTCTCTTTACCTATTTCATAGACAATATCTTTAATAGCTTGGCTTGTAATGTCATAGTTGGAAATAAAGTGTGGGTACAGTTCTTAAAAGTCTCCTTGTTCTGGTCCAGTCTTCTCCAGAATTGAAATATGACATATCCTGTCATGCATAGAAGGAGATTAGAATATATCATTTTGGCGTTTCCAAAATTTTTAAGTAGTTCTAGTAGAGTATGTGAAAGCAAAATCAATTGAGGAGCATCAATTCTTCAAAGCACCCTACTCTGCTTTTCCGAGAGATTATTCACAGTGAGGACTTCAGTGGTCACAGGTTGCTGCTGCCCAGGGGAAACAAAGGCAAAAGAAGTTCTTTAAAGAAGACATTAGATTGAATTAAGAGACAATCTCTTTGCTGAATTTAGGTAGAGGCACTGAATACCCAAGGAATATTGAAAAAGGTAAAGACTTTTCTTAGACCATACCAAGAACTAGTGAGAAGGTTACTCTCAGGTAATGATAACATTTTGCAAAGTGCCCTCTAAACTCTGCTGAGGAATAGGTCACTTCCATCTTTACACAAATGTGTTGTTCACCCTTCACACAGATTCGTTA